GCTCAGTCACTTCAGTCATGACTGAGTCTGTGGGACCCAATGGACTACCGCCAGGTTCCTCTGTCCATAGGATTCTCCAAGGTAATAATATTGGAATGGCTTGCCATTACCCTCCTCCAGGGAATCTTCCCAATTCAGGTATCGAACCCATGGCATTTTCTGTGTCTTCTGCATTGCAGGCAGATTCTTTACCACTGAGCCACCTGGGAAGCCCTGAAGAGATCTCTCTAGTCTTTCTCATTCTACTGTTTTCCTCTATTTCTTTACATTGTTTACTTAGGAAGTGTTTCTTATCTCTCCTTGCTATTCTTTGGAACTCGGCACTGAGATGAGTATATCTTTCCTTTCCTTTTTGCCTTTTGCTTCTCTTCTTTTCTCAGCTATTTGTAATGCCTCCTCAAGCAACCATTTTGCCTTTTTGCATTTCTTTTTCTTGGCGATGGTTTTGGTCACTACCTCCTGTACAATGTTATGAACCTCCGTCCATAGTTCTTCAAGCACTCTGTCTATCAGATCTAATTTCCTTAATCTATTTCTCACTTCCACTGTATAATCATAAGGGATTTGATTTAGGTCATACCTGAATGGCCTAGTGGTTTTCCCTACTTCTTCAATTTAAGTCTGAATTTTGCACTCAGAAGTTCACAATCTTAGCCACAGTCAGCTCCCCGTCATGTTTTTGCTGACTGTATAGAGCCTCTCCAACTTTGGCTGCAATATAATCAATCTGATTTTAGTAATGCCCATCAGGTGATGTCCATGTGTAGAGTCATCTCTTGTGTTGCTGGAAGAGGGTGTTTGCTATGATCAGTGCATTCTCTTGGCAAAACTGTTAGCTTTTGACCTGCTTCATTTTGTACTCCAAGACCAAACTTGCCTGTTACTCCAATTATCTTGACTTCCTACTTTTGCATTCCAGTCCCATATGATGAAAAGGACATCTTTTTTTTTAGTTCTAGGAGATCTTGTAAGTCTTCACAGAACCATTCAGCTTCTTCAACATTAGTGGTTGCTATATATTTTCCTATTGTTGATCTAAAAGGAAAAACTTTAAATATTCTGATTATAAATATTGTCAATATTGCTAAAATATATGTGACTGCTTTTATAGCTCCTAAATAAAGGAAAGTTTTAGGGAACTGTGACAATGATGAAGTTAATTTGTACATTTGGTCAGTAATCAATGTTTCCTATTTGGGTTTAATTTGACTACTGCTCATTAGAGTTATAAACCAACATATTCATTTAATTGTGATTATAATTCAATAGCTGAACCTTTATGGTACAATGAACAAATTAATAGCTAATCTTTCCTGTTAAAAATATCATATAAGACTTATGTTTTAATGAACTGTATACATGGAATGTATTTTATGGGGACTCCTTCAAAAAAGCTCAATAATTATACTTTCTCTTAATAAGTAAAAAGAAAACTTCAGATTTCATGAGGTTTTACAAACATTCTCTAGGAAAAGGTTCTCATATCCCTCTTCCCTGCTGCAAACCATTTTGTGACTGACAGTTTCCAAAAGGGTTAAATGAAAATGCCACTCTTATCCTATTCTATGGCTCAATTCCCATTTTTTGTTACTATGAAATAACCAGGTTGCTTATGCATATTAGCTTAAAAAGCAATATATGTATGACCTTTAAGAACTTACAGTGAATTTCCTCTCTTGGATTTAATTATCAGCCACTCAATGCAGCATGAATTTTAACTGATGCTCTCAAACTGGAGACTATTTCTAGATCACTCTGATTAAAGCAAATTAACAGCTTAAGAAGGAAAAAACAGAAAAGAAAAGAAAGCAGGTCACCGTAAGTTAGTCTGGCATATCAGAATCAACATGCATACCAGACTATGAAAGACAAGGGTTTGAATCCCAGCTCCAGTATCTAGCTCCCCTTTGGGGAAACAAATTCATTTTTTGGCATTCTATAAAATGGGATAACAACTCCTCACTCTGCAGGATTATGTTAAATGATAAAAAAAGAAGACATGCATGTTTATCACAGCACCAGATGTATGAAATCAAGAAACGATTTTCTTCCCCTCTCTCTAGAAAATACTGATTATTTTACAGTCAAAAGCAATTTTTAAAATATTTAATTATACAGGTAGTTTGCTTATAAACCACCAGCCACAAAATTTTATCTAGTGGTCACTTTGATAAGCCATGTAACATTAATTTCAAGGGCTTCTTAAACATGGCTCTTTGCCTGTCCTAACTTGAAGCCTTCAAACATATACAAACAAAACAAAAATAAATAGATAAAAATATAAAATCTATACCTTTCCTGAACTACTTTTATTCTACTTGAGAAGAACAACTATATTTTATGAATGGGTGGGACTATCCTATTTTGTGTCTGACACTGGATGCTTATTACACAATCATCAGTCACCTCACTTTGAAAACTGCCCTACAAGATAGGTTATCATGTTTTTACTCACTGTTTTGGATTTACAAACAAAAACAAAAAATCCCTGAGGCTTAGCCAATGTATGTGGCTGGAACATGGCAATCCCAGGCCTCTCTAGGTTTCAGGGACATGATATTTTAGATTTTCTGACTCTGACTATATAGTCTCTGAAATATACTCGAGAAAAAGTATTGTACCATCCACACTGGTCTACAACTTATTTGTATTTGCACATAATGGGTATTTATTAGTTCAGTGGTAAATCCTTATTTACTGGCGGCCCACAATATGCTAAGCAAAAAGCAAGAAATGGGGTTGAGATATACTTTAAAAAGGCAAGGCTCCTGGAATTTACCGGTACATTTTGGTAACACAATCCTACTCCCTTGATATTCTACCTCCTACCCTAAACTTGCATATCTTTATTTTTTTTTTATTTTTTTTTTCATTTATTTTTATTAGTTGGAGGCTAATTACTTTACATCATTGCAGTGGTTTTTGTCATACATTGAAATGAATTAGCCATGGATTTACATGTATTCCCCATCCCGGTCTCCCCTCCCACCTCCCTCTCCACCCGATCCCTCTGGGTCTTCCCAGTGCACCAGGCCCGAGCACTTGTCTCATGCACCCAACCTGGGCTGCTGATCTGTTTCACCCTAGATAATATACGTGTTTCGATGCTGTTCTCTTGAAACATCCCACCCTCGCCTTCTCCCAGAGTCCACAAGTCTGTTCTATACATCGGAACTTGCATATCTTTAAGCTTTTGCTCTCAAGACCTTACTGAATACTTGCTGTGTGCAAGACAGTGCAATCGTGGTAGGTGCTGAGATGTAAGAGAGCTACTGATTGATTACAAGTACCCAGTGAAAAGATAAAACCTTCCCCACAAAAAAGTCTCCTTCTCCCACCTGAAGCAAGAGCTGCTAACCAAGGGGTGAAAGAGACCAATGATGGGGCATTAGGGATTCTACCATGATGACATAACTTCAGTAGGAGACACAATGTGAAATTATATGCAGATTATTATCTGGTTTCCTCGGTGTGTATGCCCAGAAGTGGGATTGCTGGGTCATATGGCAGTTCTATTTCCAACTTTTTAAGAAATCTCCACACTGTTTTCCATAGTGGCTGTACTAATTTGCATTCCCACCAACAGTGTAAGAGGGTTCCCTTTTCTCCACACCCTCTCCAGCATTTATTGCTTGTAGACCTTTGGATAGCAGCCATCCTGACTGGTGTGTAATGGTACCTCATTGTGGTTTTGATTTGCATTTCTCTGATAATGAGTGATGTTGAGCATCTTTTCATGTGTTTGTTAGCCATCTGTATGTCTTCCTTGGAGAAATGTCTGTTCAGTTCTTTGGCCCATATTTTGATTGGGTCATTTATTTTTCTGGAGTTGAGCTGGAGGAGTTGCTTGTATATTTTTGAGATTAATCCTTTGTCTGTTGCTTCGTTTGCTATTATTTTCTCCCAATCTGAGGGCTGTCTTTTCACCTTGCTTATAGTTTCCTTTGTTGTGCAAAAGCTTTTAAGTTTCATTAGGTCCCATTTGTTTATTTTTGCTTTTATTTCTAAAATTCTGGGATGTGGGTCATGGAGGATCCTGCTGTGATTTAAGCAACCTAGATGCCCATCAGCAGACGAATGGATGAGGAAGCTGTGGTACATACACACCATGGAATATTACTCAGCCATTAAAAAGAATTCATTTGAATCAGTTCTAATGAGATGGATGAAACTGGAGCCCATTATACAGAGTGAAGTAAGCCAGAAAGATAAAGACCATTACAGTATACTAACACATATATATGGAATTTAGAAAGATGGTAACGATAACCCTATATGCAAAACAGAAGGAGAGACTCCGATGTATAGAACAGACTTGTGGACTCTGGGAGAAGGCGAGGGTGGGATGTTTCAAGAGAACAGCATCGAAACACGTATATTATCTAGGGTGAAACAGATCAGCAGCCCAGGTTGGGTGCATGAGACAAGTGCTCGGGCCTGGTGCACTGGGAAGACCCAGAGGGATCGGGTGGAGAGGGAGGTGGGAGGGGGGACCGGGATGGGGAATACATGTAAATCCATGGCTGATTCATTTCAATGTATGACAAAACCCACTGCAATGATGTAAAGTAATTAGCCTCCAACTAATAAAAATAAATGAAAAAAAAAAAAAGAAATTGTATGCAGATTTAGAGAAACTAAAAACTGAAACTAAAAAGCTCCAGTTCCATAAAAGCAGGTATATTCATTACACACAAGCACTGTGGCTCCTGTTCACACCTAAATCTTTACCATCATAGCAACAAGGAGGGACTTGAAAACTAGGGGATGATGGTAGATGGATGTTTCTAAATAAAACAAGAGATAACTTCCCGTAAGGCTTGGCATTTGGCTACAAACTCAAGTGCTAAAATGTTCAATTGCATCATGGGAGCATTTGAAACTATGGCAGGAAGTAAATTACTGAAAGAAATTAATGCAAGGTTGCTCTATAGTCTTTTGTATAATTTATAGTTTGCATTAATAATTACATTCATTCATTTTCTCTCTTTTTCTCTTACCTTGTCCTTCTGGAGTTTCACCAAAGGGGTTCACTTCCACCTGAGTAGCATCAATTTTCAGGAAGAGATTGTATAGCTTCTTAATTTGATCTGCAGCCTAAATATGATCAAGTGAAATGAAACTTCATAAAAGTAGAAAAAAATTATTTTGCTACATTAATGATACCTTAAAAATAACAAGCTGTCTATTTTCAGTTAGGTTTTCTGAAGGGGAAAAAAAGAGAAGCATAACTATTTTAATTTCTATTGCTATTCATTAGAAGAAATTGTTCAACTTTCCTCCAGACACTAGAAAAGACCATCATCAAGAAACAAAATATTTTCAGTATGGCCCAAAAGTGTTGTGAATCTTTTTGAAAATTATCATGTCCCTATTAGCTGAGTTACACTGCAATATGAGCTAGAATTACTAATACAAAAAAACTCCATTTAAGTAAAAGGTAAACATGATTTTGAGAGTTTTTAACGACAAGGTTTTCCTTGGTATGCTGGAATAAAACTGTTATCATGTTCAGCAATCCAAACCTATAATCTGTGAAACAACAATTACTGAGTATCTATTGGAAATGGTTGCAAAACAAGAAGATGGAAGACCTCGACAGTACACTTACTGGACAGCACAATTCAAACTGCAAACAGTTTGTCCCGAAGGCATAAGCCACAAAGAACCAGAATATTCAACAGTTTCCCTGGTGTTGTACCCTAACTTCATTTTTCTCACTCTGCTTGAAATTCACTCGCTCATTCATTCTTTTCAACCAACATTTATTAATTGCTCATGTCACAGCAGGCTGGCACTTTGTGATCTGGGGCTAGGGGGAGGATCACAAATGAGGTGTGACAGCACCCAGGAAAGCCCGCACCTGCAGTAAACACAGCCTGTTCACCATTAACACAGCAAAGTGAGACTGTGTAATGTGCAATCAAGGCTGAATGTTGGGGTTTAGTCTTATTCTCAGCTCCAACTTATTTCCCAGCCATACTTGCCCCATTTCCACATTTTTTTTCATGGTTCCCAACCTGCATTATTTGCCCTCAGATTCCTTTCCAGTTTTTCCCCATCTCTACTCTATTTATCAGGGGAGCTGACACTTGTACACTGGGTTTTCAAGGCTCCTGGGCCAGCTGGCTTCAGTTCAGCCAATGGGAAGCAGCAGTGGGAGACAGGAGCTGGGAAGAAGGAAAAAAGAGTGGATATTTTTACTCCTCTCTTTCTGCATCCTCTCACTTTAATTCCCATCAGGGTCCCAACTTCTGTATCTCAAAGTCCAGTAACACTACCACTTCACTTTGCTCCTTGAGCACATAAGTGGCAACAACTTTCTATTGCTGTTCAGCTCTCTGTGTTGCCTTGCTGTTCACTCAGAAACTTCTCAGTTCTCACCACACCTACTTAACCAATTACCTAGAATAAAGTCCCACTGTGGTCAATACTGGGGTTTCCCAGGTGGCACTAGTGGTAAGAACCTGCCTGCCAATGCAGAAGACATAGAGATGAGGGTTCAATCCCTAGGTTGGGAAGATCCCCTAGAGGAGGGTATGGCTACCCACTCCAGAATTCTCACCTGGAGAATTCCTTGGACAGAGGAGCATGCTGGGCTACAGTCCATAGGGTCACAAAGAGTTGGACACAACTGAAGCAACTTAGCACACATGCACGTGGTAAACACTAGCAGTGATTTCTCTGTTCTGGTACTAACTAAAGAACTCTTGGAGATGTAAGTAATTCATTTTACCTTATTTTGTTTGATGTACATGTGTAAACATCCTTAAATCCTAATTTGAAAGCCAGTGGATATAACCAAATATATATAATGAGTTAGACTGAATATTTATAATATTAATTTTTTGTGGCTAGATAGTACATGTACATAATGCAAAATACCCAAGGTCCACAAGGCTCCCCCTCAGGATCTTCACCAGACTCCCCAGCGACAGAGCCCCCAGTCGGTCCTCCTGCAGCAGCCACTCTATTGGTTCATTAAGGGATATAGCTATACAAATGCAAGTGTACACATTTTTCCATTCATCTTTTTAAAATAACAAACTTGGTTCTACACTTTGTTTCTTTACTGATTGATTTCAGAGAGCCTTCAGCAGCAAAACAGAACAATCTTGTAAATGACCACATAATATCTTATTGTATGGATATATCATAATTCATTTAACCTGTCTCCTAAATAATGGCCATTTGGTTTCCAGTAGCTTGACATTACTTCAAATGCTGCCTTATCTGTGTGTGTATCTATCTATCTACCTATATATATATATGTATATATATATATCCTTATATCCTACAGTGATTAAACATCTATAGGATAAATTCTCCGAAGTGGGGAACAGGGGGTGGGCATTTTACATAATAAAAGATTATCTTAAATTGTTCTTGCTCTTATCTTAAATTGAAGCTTTCACTGATGTCCCCTCCCACAAACCAGCATTATAGAGATTTTTATTTTTTTAACTCACAACCATCAGCTATTTGGGTATCTCATTTATGGTTTTAATTTGAATCGCTCTAATTATGAATAGACCTGAGTATTCTATGAGAGTGAGACATCTGTATTTCCTATGCTGTGAACTCTGCATAGGAAAAATCCACATATTTTTTTGGTGTTTCTCATATTAATGTATAGGAGGCATTTTTACATGAAGGAATTTAGCTCTTTATGTCATAGAAATAGCTATATTTTTGTCTTTTAACATTTGTTTTTTGCCCATGTTTTTGTTACTTCTGCCACATGGAAATCTAATAACATTAATAATAATGTCACGCTTTTCTTTTACAGCTTCTGGCTTTGTGCCAGACTTGGAAAAGGTTGGTTCCCAGCCTAACAATTCTATCATTATTTTTTCAAAAACTTAAGATTTCCTTTATTTAATGTTTACTTTTGTTTTTTTTTTCTTTTTGGGTGTAATCCAAGTGCATTTTATTTGAATCACAGTGTAAAACAGGTAAGTGACTCACTGTTCAAACTTTTTTATATTTTTAGAGATTTCCCAGGTTGTCAAACAAATGTGCAATGTGAGCTGCATGACAAAAGCATGACGTCTATTCTGGACATCATAGCATCACTATACCTACACAGCGTCTGTAGACAGTCAATACAATAAACAATGGTAGAAAAAATCATTAATGTAATAATATGGAAAGATTTCATAATAGAAATAAATTCTGAGTGCATACAAGTATAAGATCTTATCCTAGTTACTTCAAAAAGTTTTTGGTTTTGTTTTTAAGTACACGTAACATAAATTTCAGGTCTTCCCTGGGAACTCAGTGGGAAAGAACTCGCCTGCCAATATAGGAGACATGAGTTCGATCCCTGAGTCAGGACAATCCCCTGGAGAAGGGAATGGTTACCCACTCCAGTATTCTTGCCTGGAGAATTCCATGGTCAGAGGAGTGGGCTATGGTCCATAGGGTCACAAAGAGTCAGACATGACTGACTGACTAAGTGTGCACGCACGCACACACACACACACAACTTCACTTAGCACAATGTTCTCAAGACTCAACCACAATGCAGCATGTGTCAGGACCTCCCTCTTTTTCAAGGCCAAACAACCTTCCATTGTAGGTATATACTATATTCCATTTATCCATTTACTTGTCTATGAACACCTCGGTAGCTTCAAAACTTCTAAAGCCTATATTAACCTTGCTTAGCATGAAGCCTGAATTTTCTCAGGCTACTGCCACTGTAGTTATACATTAACACAGCACTTGGAGGGCATCATTATTACAACTGTTTATTATTGTGCAAAGGCGACTATAAACATTTTTTGAAGCAAGACTAAATCTGTGCTGTAAGATCTGCAAGGGGTAAACGTTATATAAAATCTGTGTTGTAATATCCACAAGGGAGAACCAGCCTGGCTTGCAGATAGAATGTGCCTTATTCCAGAGGCTATACACCAAATGACTATAAAGCCCATCCAGGCAAAACGTGTCAGTCTGCCCAGGTGTAATAGCAGGAAATGCAGGGCCTATGGCAAACTGAGGTTGGCTTTTCTACTTTCTAAATGTGTTCAAATTTTAAAAACAGATTAAACACCAGTCAAAGGAAACATTCTGCTAGTTAATGTGCTGTGAGCCAGTTTGTTACTGCCACTTATTTCCTCAGGAACCATGCTGTCCAAATATTTATTTTTTGCCACAATTAATGTTATTTCAAGGTTATATGCTAAGCAATTAAAAAATCAAGCCTAAAATCAAACATCCTTGGAGCCGTGCACATGAAACTCTGACAAATTTACCAATGTCTTGAAAAATGTTTGAACAGGTTAAAAAAAATTGGAAAAAACTTCTATTGCATCCCAGGAACTAATACGTGCACTATTCAAATATGATTCTTAAAGCTAACCAGAGATGTAAACCATACCTAAAAGGGTTAGTGAGCTGGTATTAACTTGACTGATCAGATATTTTCATCAGTTTAAATACTGGAGGCACATGCTGACAACTCACGGAGCCTATGTTTTTAGAAATGAATAGTATATATGATAATTAAGACATTCTTGAGAAATTTGTGGATTTTAGTCATATTGAGTTTTCTCATGGCTTTAGTCTTTTCAGCCAATTCTTGCTGAAATATATTTTCACCAGGAACATTATTTTGTAGGTTTTTATGCAAGGTGATGTTTATTCTTTGTTAAATCTAATATTAATACATCATATTTTAGAGACATCAGGCATGAGTCACAGGAAAGATATTAATTTTACAAGAGGATCATTTTATATGTTGTTCATCCACGAGTGAGGCACTTCCAAAGGACCAAACCACATCCTAGCTGAAAATTAAGTAACTTTCAAAGTCACATTGATCGAGGGGCCTTTAAGATACCACTTGTTTATCAAAAGATCACCAATGGTTGATCATTTAAATAAACGTTTTCTCCTCTCAGGCACCCCCTGTGCGCACTGCACATGGCCGCTCCTGTATGGAGGAAACAGTGTAAAACAGAGACTCCTGGGTCTACAGCACTCCCTGTGCTCCTGGGCCATGCATTGCATGTTCTGCTGCTCAAATACAAATGGATGTCCCCAGATGAACAAATTCTGACACAGCTGCAGCTGAGATCACCATCTCTCCTACCCCCCCACCCCGCCATTTTCACTCCTTCCATCCCCTCTTCCTGTGTTCACTGTCAGCAGGCGGACCACCGCCCTTTGAGCCCCTGGAGAACAATGGCTGCTCTTATCATCTCTGTTCAACAGGGTTCAGCAAATGAGCTTGGTTCAACCTGCTGAGGAAATGAAGATTTAAAGTCTTTCATATAATTGGCAATGATAATAGGAAAAACATGAATTAAAAGATTTATATACCTTCCTAGATAAATAAAATCAAAAATATAATGACAACATAGCTACTACCAACCCCTGAGGACTTGCAGGTTTATCTTCCTTCCATAGATAACTCACTTAAAACCTAGAGTATGTAAGGTACTCAGAAAACATGATGTAGTCACTTAAGAGCTATAAATAACTGCTAATTGTCTCTTACATTACTTTTTTGGGGGGGACTTGTGATGTGCATAATACTGTTACTGCCTTCTCTAGAACTTTAAGGTATATTTACCTCTTGAGCTTTCAAACCACACGGTGAGTAGATTTTTACCCACTCCAGGTTTATTCTCTTGCCATTTACAACTACTCATTCCTGACTCCCCAGGAATTTCTTCTAAGTAGACACCTCAGGTGTGTTATTTCACTTATTCATGCATATGACAGGTATTTCTTGGACATCTAATATATTTGCCAAACACTTTGTTGGCAACACAGTAGTGAGCAAGACCAACCAAGTCCCTGCCGTGATGCAGATAAAGATCCAGCAAACGAGACTGCAAATGTCCAGGAGAAATACAGATGTGCAAGGTATAGAGGATACAAACAAAGTGACAAGGCATATTGCAGAGCTGAGTGTAGGACAGTATGGTTAGAACACAGTGACTATAGCTCTCTGTGACCACCATCAATACACAAGAAGTTACTTAATAAATGTCAAATGATCAGTTAATACAGTCTGTAGCTAATATACTTCATGGCCTCATTCTCAGGAAGTGAAACCAACCACTGCAGCCCTTACCCATGAATCCTCCAGTATCTCTCTTTTAGCAGGTCACTAACCTGGCATTTCTTCACCAGTCTCAAAATGATGACTAATTCCTCTAACCATCCACTGAATCCTGGTTCTTTCTATCTCCTACTGAGGCTTAGTCCCGGATGATCCTGTTTCCCACTACCATGTTGAACCTTCTGCTTTCCACTGGAGGTTTTCCTCCAATCTTCAAATAAGTGTTGTCCTCTTTTAATTTAAACAAATATATTTTAAAGTCTTATTGTGCTTCACCTTTCCATAACTTGCCTTCATGTTACCCTTAAGCTTTTAAAGTTAGACTCAATCAAAAGAAAAGGTAAAGAGAGAAAATAAAGAGTGTACAACTGACTGTTTTACTAGGAGGATGCTGCCCAACTAAATTAAGGGAAATGACAAGAATCCCAGAGCCCTAGGACAACACACAAACAGACACACAATGAAGGGTTATTAAGGTGGCTTCTCTTAGTAACAGAGGGGGAAAACAACAGCCAGTAAGTCTTCTGACTTAATTATGAGACAAGGAAGCACGCCTGCACAGACATAAAATCAGGCTCCATGGGCAGGACCGAGGGCAGTGCAGGACTGTGATGCTCAAGACAGACTCTCCCTTACAGCTCAAAGAACAATTTTCCTGTCTTTGAAACCAAAAGATATAATTACTAAATTAGCATAATTCAAGCTGTTTTCAGTCAAATATCACCTCTGTGTAATTAGTATTCATCTCAAATGCCCATTAGCTATAAAAGAACAGTAACTAATTAGGTAATGTATATTATTATTAAGAATTGACCTTTCTGGAGTACTGAATACGTATTTTCACACATCAGGTTACTCAATCCTCATAATAACCCTCTCAGTTAGGATTTCATCACCCCCATTTTACAGACTTTGAAAGTGATGTTCAGATGGTCTGAGTCACACATGTACTGGGCAGCAGTGCAGGATTCAAACTCAGTTTGCCTAACTCTGCAGCCTGTGATTCTAACCACTGCACTGCATCTTAAAATTGATTTACTGGAGATGCACTGCTATAGAAAAAACAAAGAAACTAACATACTTAACGAGCTGTATGTGTCTACAGGCAACATACTCTTATTACACACACACACACACACACACACACACACATGCGTCATAACATTCTCTTTGGAACACCAGGGAAGTATTTTTTCACTATAAACAACTGCAGGAAAAAAAAAGAGAAAATAATAAATTGCCTTATTTCCTGATAATCACAAACATTAGATAATATTAGGCAAAGTTCCCAAACACTTTCTGAAACATGTTAGACAAACCAGCCTCCAATTGCTCAAGTACCTGGTTTTTCAAAGGCCCGAGGAAGCCTAGATTTTCTGCCATCCGCTGAGCTTGGCTGTCCTTTATCCCTTCAATAATGTCAATTTGCTCCTAGTAAAAATGAATCAGATGAACAAAATTCAGACAATCAAATGAAAAGATTTACAACCTCAAAAGAAAATGCTTAGTATTTATGTGCAAATGAGTAATGAAAAGTGTGGCACCTTCCCAAAGCTCTCTGAGTCGGGCCGCCACAGCTGCCTATGGGGTATTTTAATTAGCACACCACCTATAAAACAGCCTTTTCAAAACTACATAACTGTTCAGGGTGGCATGCTGACAAGATGATCGGATGCCAGTTTTCACTTTTAATTACTATACAGATGGCAGTGACGAATATTTAGTCAGTTAATTTTTATGACATGTTTTTGGAAGGCTTCCAAAGTAAGTTTTTCCTGCCTAATATTGCTGTTAAGTTCAGAGTTTATCTTATATAGGTTAAATATTACCTTATGATTTAAATACTCTGCTGCTGCTGTTAATTATTAATAATACCCAAGCTCTACAAAGGGCTATTCCCTCCAAGATAATGAGTGTTGTTTAGATATATTATTTCATGTACTCTCTTAACAAATGTAATAACTTGTTTTAAAAATGTTAGTTTAAAAAAAAAAAAGTAGGTGTTATTGGTAAGCCAGCAAGTAGAAGTCCCAATTTAACTTCCAAAGTAGTTAACTTAAATATGCAACACTGGTGAAAATATTTTAAAACCAGTCTTCAAAGTATTAGTACCTTATAAATGAAGAGTTTCAAGAAATAAAATTCTCGCTTTTTAGAAGGAAAAAAAATCACTTTCTAAAAGATATAATAAAGGTTTTTACTAGAAATTTTTTGTGTGATTTTTTTGACACTAAGAACTTGGAATTAAAACCTAGGGTTATAGTTCTAAAGATCTTAGGATTTTCTTCTTATAGCTGAGGTAGGTTGAGAAGCATTTTGCATATATTATCTAATTTAATCTTCACAATTCTATAGGGAGGGAATTATCCCCATTTTCATTTACTGATTCAAAAAACTGAGAAACTTATTGGCTAGTTAGGATTTGAGCCCAGGTCTCTTTGACTAGAAACTAATCTTAACATCTTAAAAAAAGAAAAAAAGGACAACCCCAACAGCAACAACAAACTACACATACAATATTTAAAGGATTGAAACAAACAGAATCTGGGCCTTAGAAAGATTCTCCTTTACACTGTGCTAAGTCGCTTTATTACCAGCACTGAAAGACATCGAGGCAGTTTCTAGTTCACATCTGATTTCTAGGAGACAATTTCTGGGTCATATTTATGAATGAGGTAGAGTTAACCAAGAAGAAATGAAAAATTCACATTCCTCTCCCATTGGTTAATTCTTGTGGCAAGTTGGATGCAAAGAGACTAGAGAGAAAGAAAAGGCTAGAAGGAGGAAAGAATGAAGGGAGAAGAAAAGCAAAGAAAAGCTCTTGAAAAGCACATATTTTGATCTACCCAACCTTTTCTTACTGGATATCCAATATGAAAAAGGACTCAATATCTTCATGCCTTAAATCCCAGAAACAGTACACCAGGCTCAGAAATTAGGCCCACACTCAGTCTTTAACAGTGTGTACAGAAACAATCAATGAACAGAACATAGTCAGGAATCTAAGCATACCTTAAAAATAAGTTCTGGATTCGAAGCTGCCACCTCTTCAATGTCAACGCCCCCCTGAGGGCTGCCCACCAGCACGGGGCCATTGCAGGACCGGTCCATCAGAATGGCCAAATAGGTTTCCCTGGAAATGTCCAGGGCTTCAGCAACCATCACCTACCACATTAGTGGGAAAGTCAATTAAGTCAGCATCGAGCTGATTTCCACTTGGAAATCTATACAAACTTGCTACACAAATCAAACAGCTTCATTTTCAGGCTCTTTAAACCCAGTGAGATTTGAGAGTTCTGCCTTCATGGTGCACAGTGCCCATTTTCACCTCCTTAATTGATCCTGTTAACTTTTCAAGTGACAGGTATTCAGTTTGCCTCAAGGAACCTTCCCACTTTAATCTTCCTTTTCTTCTTCAGAAACCCTGACACTTGAGAAAAACTCCAGGGAAGCAGCTGTTATTTTAATTTGAGACATTAGCAGTACATATATATTACTACACTGATTCTTCTCAGATTGCACTGGTGGGAAACCAAGTTTGCTTGCCAAAGAAGGATTCTTTTTATGGTGTGTCTGATGCCTCCTATGTTTGGATACTTCTGTCTCTTGGATCACTGTATTTTTATTTCAATTTATACTTTCTCTTAAATTACAAACATAATATTTGCTTGTTCGAAAATAAATGCTGACGATACTAAAAGTATATAGAGGGGACAGTGAAAGCTCTCCCCTCCTGCACATACATACCCCCTCGGCCCCCCAGTCAGGATGTTCATGAGTCCCTATAGAACCTTTGTGATGACCAGAAAAAAACATCCCTTTCTCTGTGAGGATGTAGTCACATTCCAGGGCCATGACTGGGCAGGAAGCAAACTGGACAAATGGATTTCCTTCTCCATACATGCTCCAGCCAGGTCCTTTTTGCTCTGCACAACCTTAACAAAAGCATGAAGCAGCCCTACCAGGAAAATCCACTAATTTTTACCTCTTCCCTATGCATCGGTAAGCATTACCAACATGGAATCATCTTGCACACGGATAAATATTACACATGCTTGAATGCCTCTCTTTCTTCCTTTTTGTTTCTTATCTTAATATTATAACTTTGATTGTACAAGGTCTTCTCTCTGCATTGTGACCACATAGTACTTATATGTCAATATTTATTTGACCTAGTCCTGGCTGACAGACGTTTATGTGGACTTGTGTTTCTAAAAATACTACCTCAGTGATTATTTCTGTGTGTGCAGCTTTGCTCCATTGTTTCAGTAACCCCCTGGTCAAGGGACATAAAGATAGAATGGCTAGGTTTTACAATAGATTCTTCATATTTAAAATTTTGATAAGTACTATCAAATTTCCTTGGAGAGAGATGCTGGACCAACTTACACTACCAAAAAAAAAAACAGTAAAAAATGTCTTGGATGCTTTTTAAAAGAAAATAAGAACATCTATAAGGAATCAGCACTTGAAGTAAAAATAATAAAATCACATACACTGCTTTCCCTAAAAAGAAATTCAGTAATATGTTTCACCAAAAATGTTACTGATTAAATAATAATAGAGTTTAGCTCCCTAGAAGCCACAAAAGCACTAATTTTTAAGTCATATGAAGCGGGATAAATATATGATGACCTAGAAAGCTACAATGTAATGAATACAATTAACTCCTTCTTTTCAAACCTCTATAGAATTTATGACTGGTTAAAAATAGAGTACCTCAGAAGGGGCTTCACAGTGATTCTTCTATCATAAATGGTAGCTCATGAGTTTGTAAGAAATATTTCTTGGCACATGGTGTTAGGATTTTCATAGAACCATTTTTATTTCAAGCTCACTTTCTAATCCACAGCTAGTCTAGAGAACCAGATTTAACAACTTTCAGTAGTTACTGTAACAAACAACGCAGTGTTATAACTTTTTAGGATAAGTGTCATTCAAGTGTCCTATTCTTAATTTTCTCAAGTGTTGACAGATGTGCTCTGTATTCTATCAAATTTCTATTTGTAAAGACCAGCTGCTGTCTCAAACAGCTCTTGCTTGGTAGAAATAGCCCATCACTCTTTAAGAAAACATTCCCAAGAAAATTATGATTTTCAATAGATAATTCATGGACTTTTATATACAGACAAATTTTCTGACATTGAGATGCCCTTTGTATGACCCAGGATGTTGAAATCCTTTAGGAATTGTGACAGAGAGAACTTAAATGGACTCCGTGAACTCTCATGTCATGCAAAGCTCAGTTAAACACATTTCAACCATCTTTATCTGTGACGGATATAAACTGTATCAACACAACCTTTTCATGGAGGCTTCCAGTATGGAGAACCTTTTTAACGTACTTTACTCTTGAGCAATGAATCTGTTTTTCATGTTTCTTACTGTCGGTTCATTTTGTTTTATTTTTTATATATCATGCTATTAAGACTATAGTATGTGGATGAGAGCTGGTGCACAAACTATTTGTAACAGAACAGCAATTAGCTAAGATTAACAGGGTACTCAGTTACTCTCTGCGGAACAGGAACCACTACTGGCAGTGACCCATGGAGCACATGTGTAGTAGCACTGTCTCACCTCCCCTATTACTATCCCAAGGAAAACACTACAAACACAGATTTAGGAAAAAGCCCCAATGTGAACAGATGTAGTAATGTGCTTAAATAGCTTCTTAAACAAACTAAGACCCAAAGTTTCTATCATCTGGGAACTTCTGTTTAATGTCCAGGATTCCATAAATTAAAAATGTATGAAAAAAATTAATTAATTAATTAATTAAATAAAAATGCATGGAGAAGGAAATGGCAACCCACTCCAATATTCGCTGGGAAATCCCATGGACAGAGGAGCCTGGTGGGCTCAGGCCACGGTGTCGCAAGAGTTGGACACAACTGAGCAACTAAACCTACACTGCTGGTGGGAATGTAAAATGGCATGGTCACTTTGGAAGACATTTTGATGGTTCCAGAAAAACTTAAGCATAGAATTACCATTTAACCCAGGAATTTCACCCCCAAAGCTCTACTCAGGAAGAATGAAAACACAAATGAATGTTCACACAAAAATGCATACACAAAAGTTCATGCTTGCTCAAAAGTGGTAACAATACAATTAATTGTTCATCAACTGATGAATGAATAAACCAAATATGTTATAGTCATTAAAGCAGTATATTCAACCATAAAAATGTATGAAGTACTGATACATGCTACAACATGGATGAACCTTGAAAATACGCTAAGTGAAGGAAGCCAGACAAAAAAGGTTTGAAAGATTCCATTGATATGAAATATCCAGAATAGGCAAATCCATGACTATAGATAGGTTCATAGTTTCCAAGGGGTGGAAAGACGATGGAGAATGACTTCCAATGGGTATGAGTTTCTTTTTCAGGGTGATCAAAGTGTTCTGGTTTTGGATAGTGATGATGGTTGCACAACCCAAGAATATACTAAAAACTACTTAACTGCACATTTTAAATGGATGAATTGTATGGTATGTGGATTATATCATATTAAAAAGAAAATCAATACAGACACACTGGATTAGTGTTTCTCCAGGCTGGGAGTAAGCATAGAAACTGTCTGCAAATGGATGGGAGATTTTTGGGTTGGTTGATGGAAATATTCAAAAATTAGATTGTGGTAATAGCTGTCAACTCCATAAATTTATTAAAACTACTGAAGTTGTACATTTTAAATGAGTGAATTTTATGGTATGCAAATTATACCTCAATAAAAATATTTTTTTAAAAGTTAAAAAAAATGCAGGTTCCTTAAAGTATATGTAACGTTACTGCTTCAAGTATGTGGTAATACATATTTTACATGGGAAAAGGACAAAAACAATGTTTAACAATTATTTCTAGGTGAGAATAGAAAATTTTACTCTCTATTTTTTGTATTTCTGTACTATTGGAATTTTTCTCACGTTAATCATTTTTGCAATCAGGGAAAAAACTACTTAAAACTATACCACTCTGGTCATTTCTTGGCAATGATTCTATTTACAAGAATGCACTTATCCCCAGGATTTCAGGAACCTATCTACAAACTAATTTAATGCATATATATATATAGTATGTGTGTGTGTGTGTGTGTGTGAGAGAGAGAATCTTGTGTGTATTTTATATGCTTTTTAAAGGTATCACAAACTCTACTGTCAAACTCCATGTGTCCATAAAAAATAATAAATTCCTACAAACAAAACCACTAATCATATCCCCTGTAAACAAATTTTGAACAAGTTATATAGGTAGAGGCTCATAACCAGTTTAAAGGCGAAAATAAAAGTATGGTGCTGAGCTGAACAAAAATAATTCTTCAAAACCACTGTAAGATGTAAACAGTTCTTGTATCTAGCTGCGAGGCACTGGGAAAGGGAAACAACCAGAGCCAGTTTTTTCTGTACACTTCCTCAACCTTCAGAAAGGCTCTGTGTTCTTAGAGGGAAGGGGCTAACAACCCACCAATATCCCCATCTCCCTTCAGCTCAGTGTCCTTTTCAGGACCAAGGCAGTGCGCTTGGTAAGCTAAGTATGCTAAGAAGACCCAGCTGGTGATTTTGGGGGGCCGTCATATCAACAGGTTTCCAGACAACTCCCTCTGAAATGTAAAAATGGAATGCACTGCCTCAGTTGCCTGAAGAATGGCACTCTGGAAGAGATTACCATGTGATAATCCACATGTGATGCTGTGTCTGTGGAGCAGACAGTTGCCTCCCCAAAATGGTGGGCCCTATCCTGCTATTACAATGTCATGATGGGGCCTTCTAGTCATCTGTAGCGCACAGGCCTAGAGTGAGTGAGCTGTGCAGTCACCCAGGCCTGCATGCCAGAGGGTCCCATTCTTGGTCTCTGATTTGATGTTCTGCTGCAGCCAATTTGAAATATGAACAAGAATCTCACATTTTCATTTTGCACTGGATCCTGCAAATCAGGCAGTCAATTCTGGTGCCTTGATACATAACAGGGAGTTCAGCAAAGCTAATCAGACTGATAGGAGGGCAAGTTAGGCTCTGTTAGATCTACCAGTCATAGTTTCATGGCTGAGGTAAGCCACTTTGCTTTAGACTTTATTTTCTGTGTGTGTACAAGTATGTGCCCTGTACACACTTGGGTGTCCCAGCAGATCCCACTAATATGACATACTCCCAGTAATAACAGTGAGTCAAAATGGTAATAACCTCAAAATAAGTTACAGGGGAACACAGAAAAACCACCAAAACAAGCACAGTAATTCTGATATACTGGATGAGGGTGGAGCTGTGAGGAAGCAGAGAATGTCCCTCACTGATTCTAGGAACTGTCATGTTAAGTCCTTTTTGACTTTAAACAAAATATGTCTGTGTTCTAAAACAAAAAATTATTATTTCAATCATTACCCATTGTTACTCAATCCTGATAATAATAAATAGTATTACTAATTTAGAATCCTTTTTTATCTCTCCTCAAAGTCATACTACACCAAAAACTACATGAGGTTCAAAAAAAATGACACATAGACAAAGTGTACTGCTTCATTAGATTCTGTCAAAACTGAAGTATGATTTTTTTTTTAACACATACACAGAAGATGGCCAAAAGCATTCACATTACCTTTTTAACTTTCACACCTTCTTTCGGAGTTTGTTTTGTTGCTAGATTATATCCAATCATCTGTTTAGCCAGCTGTCCCACAACTTTAGGGCTAAGAGAGAAGAGAAAAAAAGAGAGAGAAGAAAGAAAAGAAAGTCAATGTTTATATTGAACACAATTTTAAGACACAGTCCATATTATACCCCCTCATCCACCCTGCCTTGGGCCCACCTTCCACCTTCACAGAATGTATGGTACTTTTTGTTTATATACCAGGTGCCTAGCAGTGTACCAGATGCTCCCTGAGTGCAAAATATGTATCAATGAGTGAATGGGAGTAGAAGGAAGGAAGAAGAGGGAAGGAAAACAAAAATAAGTTTGCTTAAGTTTGTTCTTCCCTCCCCCCAAATAAGTTACAGTCATAGTAGAGAGACAATGCTGAAATGCACAGCAGACTTAGGTAAGATAGTGGGCAACTTGGGAAGTAATGCCCAAAGATGGGGATAAAGGGAAGGGGAAGGATCAAAGAAAACAGTTGAAAGGTATGTGACAGGAGAGGAGAGGAAAGTGTTTTCACTGATTGTCTAGAACAGAAGGGGTGTCAAGTTTTCACCAGTCAGTAAACAAAACCCTTTTACAGGAGAAGGAAAACGGCGACACTGCAGAGCCCTCTACCTGTTGTCTACGTCATTTACTTGTGACCTTCTGCTCCTACCCCGACCCCGGCCCGACCTCAGTGCTCCTTTCCATCATGAGCAGCATCTTCCATAACTGCTTTGCCCAAAGATAAGGAATTAAAACCTCCATGCTTACTCTTTTGTTAAATGAACGCCTCCTTTCAAACCGCTGCTGAAGACACCTTTTCCTCTTCCACCAGCTAAGATCTGGGCTTTTAAAACAATTTCTTTTGCATCTGCAAAAGAAAATTCAGAGTTAGTAGCTGATTTAAAATTCTTTTTTTTTAGCAACCAGCAAGTGGTAAAGACATAACTTCCAAAAGTGACTGGCAGAAGCTCTCTCAAAACAACTTTGAAAATGAAGGCAATAAAGAACTTCAAAAAACATCGATACCCTAAATACAAAGTCTGTTTACTGAAGACATTCAAATATTTCCTGCAAGTTTAATCTAATTCTCAACCATCCCAAGGGAGAACAAGGTATGTGTTCCCTTGTTTTTCTAAGTGTCAGAAGATGCTAAATAAATCCAGGCTGGAAGTATTAATTCTACTGTGTAACAACACTCCCATGTGACAGAGACACCAATCTGCCAGTCAGAGGAGCTAACTACCTGTCAGCCATCTGAGATGTCAAAAGGAAGACTGGTTTACTTGGAGGAAAGTTTTAAATAAAAGTTGCAAAGGGAGTATTTAATAGCTGTTTTCTTGGAAACCAACAGTTTTTTGACCAGTTGTTCTATGTATCAGCAGGGTTGGGTAAGGGAGGAAGAAATGGATTAAAACTAAAAGGAAGCAGTATTTTATCAGTGTTGGCAGGGTAACAGAATATCCCAGAGCAAAGTGGCTGTGGAATCTCTCTTCGTCAAAACACTCAAGGAAAGAGTGAATGGTCCGCTCTTGACATTTGAGACCAGTCTTAAACTCAAACACGTTTATGGGCCTGGTTGTGAAGCAGCCCAGTGATAGAGAAAGGACCATCAGCCAATAGGAATACTCCCCTATCCAATCAACAAAATGAAAAAAAAAAGGCAACCCACAAATTAAATGTGTTTAATAAACCAGATAGTACACATCCTCCAGCCACAATTATCATTCTCTGTATGTGATTCAGTTTTATCTAAAATTAGAGAATGAAATCAGACAATCTCCGATATGGCTCTAACAGTTTTCTTTTTTGGCACACCAGGTTTAAAATTGCAGACCCAGGTTTTAATCGAGGCTTCCGCCTTTGCCCAGCTGTGTGACAATGGACAAGTTACTTAATGTCTTTAAGACTCAGTTTACTCAATTATGAAACAACAATCATGGTTGTTTCAAGAATTAAATTAGAAAATATATGTGACTATCCTAACAGACTAAAAACTCATATAAGTAATGAGAAATTATCACCATGATCAATTAGTTCATTTTATTATCTTTGTATATTGTGAAAAACCAAAATGATTATTTCCATTCAAGCAGAAATGGTAAAAAATAATGGAATCTGCCGCCATTCATGCCAGGTCTGTAAATGTTGGCTATTTTAGCCAGTACTACCATCGTTACTATTACTCATAGGCAAGGAGGCAAAGGTTCAAAGAGAAGGAGCCACAGGTATTTTCAAGAAGGAAATGGGAGAGCTATGGAAGGATTTGACACAATGAAGGCACTGGGTAAAACAGTCACTCTAGCTGATGTAATCAGATTGTTAAGGTTCCTAAACTTATTGGTTGGTCTTCCTTTATATATTTGCTCACACTCAAAAAATCAAGGTTCACTTTCTCTCAGAAGCAAACACAGCCCCTTCTTTGCTGCCCTCTATAACCTCTGACAACAGTTTCTGCCCTGGATACGAATCATCACAACATCAGTCAAACAATGTCTTAGAATAAACTAGTTCCCATCAAATTAGGTAGAAGCCAAGTTATTGCTACTGCTCATTATCAAACCCTTACTAGGAACGGAACCAAGTAAAATGAACTTATTGTGCATTTAGGCTACTGCATGTAGGAGTAGTAGTAAGATAAGAACTTTGGTGTAAAACAGACTTAGTTAAAATCTCCAACTCTGCCTATTCCTTTATTTATTGAGAAGAGAATGAGATTCAGAAAGGTTAAAGTAACATGTCCAACTATAAAATAGTCAAAACAATTTACAGTGTTAGAATGATGTGAAAATAAATGAACAGAGTAGGTAAAATACTCATCTCAAAGTCTGGCACATTTAAAACAAAGAGTCAAAATATTATAGCTATTACAGTATCATAATTACTTTCAGCAATTCAGCAAAAGTAGAATTCAGAAAGAAATTTCCAACTTCTCTTTGAAGATATTAAGTGGAAAAAAGCACTTCTGCTGTTTACTCAATTTTTAATTGCATTTTCTTCAAATTCTTTAAAAATATCCAGCATTCCATTGCCTTATCATTTTTCATAACCTCATGAATCTGAAAAAAGAGATGCTTTCCTCTCCAAACTTTCCAGTAGCAAAACTTCAAAGCCATGCAGACTACCTAAATGGGCAATGTTAACTGACATTACATGGGCTTGATTAGTTAAGTTTTAGGCACTAACCATCAAGACAGAGAAACAGTTGTAAGCTCAATAAAAGTGTTGTCAATTATTCACATCACTATTGATCACTTATCAAAGGACTTCATGCCACCCAACTGGTAGACCAAGCAACCACTTTGGAGACTGAAGACACATATTGGGGCGTGGAGAAAGAGGGAAAGAAAGAGACTCTGTCAAATCTATGTATATCTTCTGCAATTTATCAGTTCAGTTCAGTCACTCAGTCGTGTCTGACTCTTTGCGACCCCATGAATCGCAGCACGCCAGGCCTCCCTGTCCATCACCAACTCCCGGAGTTTACTCAAATTCATGTCCATCGAGTCCGTGATGCCATCCAGCCATCTCATCCTCTGTTGTCCCCTTCTCCTCCTGCCCCCAATCTCTCCCAGCATCAGGGTCTTTTCCAATGAGTCACCTCTTCGCATGAGGTGGCCAACGTATTGGAGTTTCAGCTTCAGCATCAGTCCTTCCAATGAACACCCAGGACTAATCTACTTTAGGATGAACTGGTTGGACCTCCTTGCAGTCCAAGGGACTCTCAAGAGTCTTCTCCAACACCACAGTTCAAAAGCATCACTTCTTCGGAGCTCAGCTTTCTTCATAGTCTAACTCTCATATCCATACATGACCACTGGGAAAACCATAGCCTTGACTAGACGGACCTTTGTTGGCAAAGTCATGTCTCTGTTTTTTAATATGCTATCTAGGTTGGTCATGACTTTCCTTCCAAGGAGTAAGTGTCTTTTAATTTCATCACAGGCTAAAAATAAGTTCACTACAATCACCTCTTCTGGTTAGTTCTCCAATGCTAATAAAGCAATATAGTATGTCAGAAGCCAAAGTAAAATAAGTTTGTCCTGTCTTGTGGGAAACTCACATGAAGTAATTTAATTCATGTGATTATTTACTCAAACTGTTGAAAATTAAGTGACCAGATTCTACTGAACAGGAACTGGCTTTTTCATTTAGTATTTACCAAGTGGTTTCATACTCAATGTCACTGTTTCCATTTTATTTAAAAATCTAACTTCTCCAAAAACTCATACAAATTTCCATTTTTTTTTTAACATTACCTCACTGTTTCCAAAGAGAATTACAAAAGAATATTCCAGGGACTTTCCTGGTGGTCCAGTGGTTAAGAATCCATGGGTTTGATTCCACACGCCACAGAGCAACTAAGCCCACGTATTACTGAAGCCCACCAGCTACAAAGAGAGAGTAGACCCTACTCATTGCAACTAGAGAATGCCTGCATGCAGCAACAAAGACCCAGCACAGCCGGAAATAAATAAATAAATGATATCTCAATGAGGAAATTCAATTTTTGCATGAATACACAAGATGATCTAACTGTATTATAGGATATAAAGCTAAAAAGAGACAAGAGGAGGGTGAAACTTTCCTCCAATAGATTTTGTACAGATACGGATTTCATCTATACATTAATAACCATATTACTGGTAAAACCAAAGTCTATTTAACTCCAAATTTTTGGCTCTTAAATGACAGTCTTACATAAAGTAGCCTAAATATGCAATACATCTAACTTTATTCTGTTTCTTTCCTGGTGAGTTTTCTGATAATGAGCAGTGCTTAGGGCAAGGTTTCTACTGGGTTTGATGGAAACCAGTTTACTATAATTCATATACATATATTTTAGGAGAAAAAAGCACTATAAGAGACATATTTGATAAACTTAATAGATATGCAATACTTCCAAATACTATATCACTTAAGAGAATAAAATTTATAGCCATTAAGAAAACCTAACGGAAACTCTCTAAGCCACAGTTTTATTTCATTCTATTAGCTGCATTAAAATAATGTTTTCTCACTGTTCTCCTCTCATTCTCCCTCACAATGAATGTTATAATTATAATACAGTTTTTTGTAATTGCATAATTACAATACAGTCCTAAAGGACTGATTCTTGATTTCCTTTTTCTGATAGTCACATGAATGTGAGATTTGGACCATAAGAAGGCTGAGAGCTGAAGAATTTCCTTTAGGACTGATTTCCTTTTTCTAGTAGTCACATACAAATGTGAGATTTGGACCATAAGAAGGCTGAGCACTGAAGAATTGATGGACTGAACTGTGGAGCTGGAGAAGACTCTTGAGAGTCCCTTGGACTGCAAGGAGATCAAACCAGTCAATCCTAAAGGAAATCAACCCATATTCATTGGAAGGACTGATGCAAAAGCTGAAGCTCCAATACTTTGGCCACCTGATGCAAAGAGCCAACTCATTAGAAGAGACCCTGACACTGACAAAGATTGAGGGCAGGAGGTGAAGGAGGCAACGAAGGATGAGATATTTGGATGGCATCATCAACTCCATGGACATGAGTCTGAGCAAACTTCAGGAGACAGTAAAGGACAGGGAAGCCTGGCATGCTCCAGTCCATGGGGTGGCAAAGAGTGGGACACGACTGAGTGATTGAACAGCAACAACAAAGCCTAAATAGAATAAATAATACACATTTTAATTAGAAAAACTTTGTAGAACTAGTTCACTTTGTTTTTCAGAGATAGAATTCTGAAAATATATCAATGCAAAATAATGTTTACAAGATATACTTCAGAACCAGAACACAAATGGGCCACAGCAAACGTCTGAAATGTTAGCCAAGAATATCAGTAAGAGTAAGCTATTTTCAGCTATCCTTTTTTAACAGTTTGGTAT